TCTCCTAGCATCATTAATCATACCAGTGTCATTGCATACAACTCCTTTCTCTTATCGGTCTGCAAACTGGCAGTGGGGGGTTAAGGCATAACCCACCTTAGGGCACACTACATGATCAGTAGTGGACCCTCTAGTTCCAGTATTTGATGTGATTCTGGTGGAGTCTACACTCAGAGATCTCTCTACGGTAAGCCCATATTCAGATTAATTATTATTATTATTAATTAGTTAGCAAATATTTCTCCCATTGGTGTGGCTCATATAGCCACACCCATTTATCTCCCACACATTTGGGCGTAGCTGCATTCCATTGCAGAGCAAGCTCAGCAGGTTTCATAATGTCTACTGTAAGAAGGAGAGTGTTTCTTTTGGGTAAGTAAGTCCTTACTGGAGAAGTGGTGGGTTCCTACTGTAGGTGCAAGTACCATAGATACTGTTACAGTGTTTGTATGTAAGGTCATTCTTTAATAGGTATCAACCAGTTGAGGTTAGTAAGAGATGTCTTGAAGGAAAGTAACTTCATTGATGCTAAATGGTTTGATCTTGGAGTGGAATTAGACCTACCTTATCCTCAATTGAAGAATATTGAAGATACTTATGTGAATAATCCATCACGTTGCTTGAGGGAGTGCTTGAGCTTGTGGTTGACTTCAGCTAATAATTGTACTTGGGAATCATTAGCTAGTGCACTTGAGAGAATGAATCAAAAACCAGCTGCTACATATGGGGTGCCATTTGAGTCAAAATTGAAGTTATAACTAGCAGATTCAAATAATATCAAAAGATGTGCAACAACTGCAATGAATTTAAGCTAAATTTGCCTAAATTTCACAAAATTTCATACATTTAGGCAAATATCCATTGATTTAAGTTAAATGTACAGACATTTAGGTAAAAGTACAGACATTTAGGTAAATATCCATTGATTTAAGCTAAATACACGGACATTTAGGTAAAAGTACAGACATTTAGGTAAAAGTACAGACATTTAGGTAAATATCCATTGATTTAAGCTAAATACACGGACATTTAGGTAAAAGTACAGACATTTAGGTAAATATCCATTGATTTAAGCTAAATGCACGGACATTTAGGTAAAAGTACAGACATTTAGGTAAATATCCATTGATTTAAGCTAAATACACGGACATTTAGGTAAAAGTACAGACATTTAGGTAAATATCCATTGATTTAAGCTAAATACACGGACATTTAGGTAAAAGTACAGACATTTAGGTAAATATCCATTGATTTAAGCTAAATGCACGGACATTTAGGTAAAAGTACAGACATTTAGGTAAATATCCATTGATTTAAGCTAAATACACGGACATTTAGGTAAAAGTACAGACATTTAGGTAAATATCCATTGATTTAAGCTAAATGCACGGACATTTAGGTAAAAGTACAGACATTTAGGTAAATATCCATTGATTTAAGCTAAATACACGGACATTTAGGTAAAAGTACAGACATTTAGGTAAATATCCATTGATTTAAGCTAAATACACGGACATTTAGGTAAAAGTACAGACATTTAGGTAAATATCCATTGATTTAAGCTAAATGCACGGACATTTAGGTAAAAGTACAGACATTTAGGTAAATATCCATTGATTTAAGCTAAATACACGGACATTTAGGTAAAAGTACAGACATTTAGGTAAATATCCATTGATTTAAGCTAAATACACGGACATTTAGGTAAAAGTACAGACATTTAGGTAAATATCCATTGATTTAAGCTAAATACACGGACATTTAGGTAAAAGTACAGACATTTAGGTAAATATCCATTGATTTAAGCTAAATACACGGACATTTAGGTAAAAGTACAGACATTTAGGTAAATATCCATTGATTTAAGCTAAATGCACGGACATTTAGGTAAAAGTACAGACATTTAGGTAAATATCCATTGATTTAAGCTAAATACA